GTGTCAAGCCATTTACATTATTTCTTAACTGTAGAAGTTGAACCCCTACATGTCTGTCATTCCAATGTGCAATGGAATTGACATTGTACCCTGAACTACAGTGTTTGGGGTGGGAAGAGGGGGATTCCTCTAGAGAAAAAAGAATTGGAAAAATATTAAGGTTAAGAAACATGCTCATGATGTAGAAATTTTCCTTCTTTTTTATAATTGGCTACTAGAATCTGACAAGTATCAGAAAAAAGAAGTCTACCCCCACCAGAGAGAACCTTCAGTCTAGTTGGGTTCTGGTGAAAGAATTTCCTCTTCACAGCTGCGCTGTACAGTGGGATGGGTGTGGTTTTTGCAATTCCCTGGGTGAATGGCAGGGAGGGTTTCTAAATGAATCATCATCAGAGACTTCAGAGCTGGGAAGGGCTCATCACCAAGGCCTTGAAAATCATTTATTGTGGCTTGAAGGGTATCAATGATACTGCTTGGCAAGTCACTTGGGAATAATATGTGTCTGTTTCACCTGAAATTCAGGAAAGGACTTATTTTCTAAAGCAGGTGATTTGTCACATTTCTTTGGTCAGAAGAAAATTGACTGGTGGGTCAGCCCCTCACGCCACAGAGAAAAGAAGATGCCCAGAGGCCAAGAGGATTTGATAGGAAGGAACCCAGTTAACACTGGACTAGTCCAGCATTTTGTGACTCTAAAGTTGCTTTTATTGTGATTTCCTAAAATCAGAAATATATTCTGTGGTAATGTGACTTTATGTTTTCTGCATATCTATTCTTTTGTTTAAATTAAAAATATGAGCCAAAACCGGTTTGGCTCAGTGGATAGAGCGTCGGCCTGCGGACTGAAAGGTCCCAGGTTTGATTCCGGTCAAGGGCATGTACCTTGGCTGCGGGCACATCCCCAGTGGGGAGTGTGCAGGAGGCAGCTGGTCGATGTTTTTCTCTCATCGATGTTTCTGTCTCTATCTCTCTCCCTTTTTCTCTGTAAAAAATCAACAAAATATATTTAAAAAACAAAACAAAACAAAAAAACAAAGTGAATGACTTAGTTTACACATCTGTAACCTGACATATTAACCCTTAAAAATTCTTTTTTGTGGTGAGAACATTTAAGTTCTACTTTCTTAGCAAATTTCAATTATATAATACTAGTGGCCAGGTGTATGAAATTCGTGGGGGAGGGTGTCCCTCAGTCTGGCCTGCACCCTCTCTAATCTGGGACCCCTTGGGGGATGTCTGAGCCTGTTTAGAGGCCCGATCCCTGGGGATCGGGCCTAAACCGACAGTCGGACATCCTTTGGGGGAGGGTGTCCCTCAGTCTGGCCTGCACCCTCTCTAATCTGGGACCCCTTGGGGGATGTCTGACTGCCTGTTTAGGCCCGATCCCACAGGGATTGCCTGCCTGCCAGCCTGATTGCCCCCTAACCGTGAACCTGCCGGCCTAATTGATGCCTAACTGCTCCCCTGTCAGCCCGATCACCCCCAACTGCCCTCCTCTGCCGGCCTGATCTCCCTCAACTGCCCTCCCCTCCCGGCCTGAACACCCACAACTGCTGCAACCCACCTTCTCTGCCAGGACCGGCCTCCTCCACGTGCTGTGCAGACTCCCAGGCCTCACTATGCGGAACAGATGCCAGGCCCCACCTCCGCTGTGCACATGGCCACCTTGTGGCAGCCATCTTTGTGGCGGCCATCTTGTGGCGGTCATCTTTGTGGCACCATCTTGTAGTGGCCATCTTGTTGTGGCCATCTTGTGATGACGTCGCATGTGAGGGCCACCTAGGCTTTTATTAGTATAGATAGTATTACCACATATAGTCATCATGCTGTACATTATATCCTCAGATCTTATTCAGCTAATAGAAAAAATTTATAACCCTTTTACCAAGTTCTCCTTGTTTCCCTATCTACCCACCCACAGCAGCAACTTTTCTATTCTCTATTTCTATGAGTTTGACATTTTTTTTAAAAAAGGATTCAACATGTAAGTGATATCATGCAATGTTTGCCTTTCTCTGACTGGCTTATTTCACTTAACACAATGCCCTCCAGATTTACCCATGTTGTCACAAAGGACAGAATTTTCTTAGTTTTTAAAGGTTAAGTAATATTCTATCCTATCTAACAAAAGGGTAATATACAAATCAATCCAATGGTGGAACAACCGGTTGCTATAACATGCACTGACCACAAGGGGGCAGTCGCTCAATGAAGGAGCTGCCCACTGGTGGTCAGTGTGCTCCCACAGGGAGAGCGCTGCTCAGCCAGAAGCCGGACTCATGGCTGGTGAGTGCAGTGGTGGTGGCGGGAACCTCTTCTGCCTCCAGAGCAGCATTAGGATGTCCAAAGGCTTAGGCTCACTCCCTGCTGGCAGTCAGACATCCCCTGAGGGCTCCTGGACTGCAAGAGAGCACAGGCCAGCCTGAGGGACACCTCCCCCCCATGCGTACACAAATTTCATGCACCAGGCTTCTAGTATATATATAAAATTAAATGTATATAATTATATAATATATTTTACTGATCCACTCACCTGTTGACAGACACTTAGTTTGTTTCCATATCTTGGCTGTTGTGACTAATGCAGCAATGAACATGGGAGTATAGGTATCTCTTTGAGATAATGCTTTCATTTCTTTTGGATATATACCCAAAAGTGGGATTGCTGGATCATCTGACAAGTTCTATTTTTAATTTATTGAAAAATCTCCATACTGTTCTCCATAGTGGCTATACCAGTGCACATTCCCTACAGCAATGTACCAGGGTTCCCTTTTTTCACAATCCTTACCAGCATTTATCTCTTGTCTTTTGATAATAGCCATACTAACAGAGGTGAACTAATATTTCATTGGAATTGAATTGGCATCTTCTGGATCATTAATGATGCTGAGCATCTTTTCATGTACCTATTGGCCATTTGTATGTCTTCTTTGAAAAATGTCTTTTCAGGTTCTTTGCCCATTTTTATTTTATTTTATTTAAAAATGTTTTTATTGATTTCAGAGAGAGGAAGGGAGAAGGAGATGGAAACATAAATGATGAAAGAAAATCATTGATCAGCTGCCTCCTGCACGCCCCCTTCTGGGGATGAAGCCTGCTACTCGGGCATGTGCCCTTGATCGGAATCGAATCCAGGACCTTTCAGTCCATAGGCCAATGCTCTACCCACTGAGGCAAACCAGCTTGGACATGCCCATTTTTAAACTGGGCTGTTTCCTTTTCTGCTATTGAGTTGTATGAGTTCCTTGTATATTTTGGATATTAGCCCCTTATGGGATATGTGGTTTGAAAATATTTTTTCTCATCTGGTAGGCTGCCTTTTCATTTTGTTGATGGTTTTCTTTGCTGAGTAGAAGCTTTTAGTATTTTTTTATTTAAAATTTTTTTCTTTATTGTTTGAGGTATTACAAATGTGTTGAGCAGAAGCTTTTTAGTGCAATGTAGTCTCACGTGCTTATTTTTGCTTTTGGTGTCAAGTAAAAAATGTTATTTATTAATTTTTAAAATATATTTTATTGATTTCAGAGAGGAATAGAGAGGGGGAGAGAGATAGAAACATTAATGATGAGAGAGAATTATTGATTCTCTGCATGCCCCACACTGGAGATTGAACCCACAACCCAGGCATGTGCCCTGACCGGAAATTGAACCCTGACCTCCTGGTTCATAGGTTGGCGCTCAACCACTGAGCAACACTGGCTG